TGAGGCAGGAGGCTTGCCACGAATTCAAGGCCAGCCTGGGCTACACAGTGAGACCCTGTCTCAAAAAAACCAAAGAGAAAAAAAAAAAAAACAACAGAAAATACATTTCAGAGAACTCACAACTCCAGAGCATTATGATCCAGCTACTTTAACAATTTAGCTACGAGTGTGTACACTTACATCACATACTTGAATAGAATTTGCTTACATGTGCACACTGTAATAAGTGGTAATGAATAATCTATCTTTAAAAGCAGGGTAATCTGACTTCTAGTCTACCATGTAAGGAACGCACAAATCATCACTCCCATCCACACAAGAAAAGAGCAATGAACAACTCTTCTTACAACTGCTGTCCTGGGGAGACGGAGCATCACAGAAACCTGGCCAGCACCCAGTTCTCATCCAGGAAAGCCTAAACTCTAAGTCATGACAGCCCAAGGGGGACAAAAGTAGAGTTAAATACTCCAGGGTGAGGCAGTCTCTGGGGAGGCTCCCCCCACACCTGTGGGTTTCACCCTTAGGAACCCATTCCCATAGTGCTGACAGAAAAAAACTCCGGTGTCTCAGCTGAGTGCAATGACAGCCAGGCTCAAACAAGCCAGAGTGTTCTGTCCCCACCCTCAGAGCAACTCCTTCTAGAGCCCAGCCAGCTGGGCTTTCACAGACACACACCTCCTCGGTAGATGGTAACACCCAACTCCAGTGCCCTTTTCATCTCATCTCAGGATAAAAAACAACAACAAAACTGAGAAGCACGTGTGTAGGACACAAACTCACTTGGAGACTGAGATCCAACCACAGCACTCCTCAGTGCTCCTCCTCCCCACACCCTACCACACCCACAGAGCTCCTGAGCAACACACTGTCACTGAAGCAGGTGCAAACCTCGAGCTTCCTCAGGGGATCTCAAGAGGAGCCAAAAGATCAAAGACAGAAAGACCAAGTCTGGCATGTGGTGCACACCTGTAAATCCCAGCTACCGAAAGGTACAGCAAGAGGACTGAAAATGGAATGTAACGGGCTGGTGATACAGCTCAGCAGCACAGCACCTGCCTGGCAAACATGAGATTCTGAATTAGATTCTCAGTGCCAAAAAATTTTGGGCCAGGTGTGGTGGTGCACAACTGTAACTGCATCACTCGGGAGGCAGAGGCAGAAGGATCGTCATGAGTTCAAGGCCAGCCTGGGCTACACAGTGAGTTCAAGGCCAGCTTGAATTATAATAATGAAACCCTGTCTCAAAAAAAAAAAAGAAAGAAAGAAAAGAAAAGAAAACATAACTTAGCAAGATTCTGTCTCAAAATAAAATAAACAAAAAGGGCAAGGTACAGTGCAGCGGCGGAGTGTTTGTTTGCCTAGCAAGTACCAGGCCCTGGCTTCCATCCCAAGTATGCAAAGAAGAAAAAACATAACAAACAAGGACTGCAGAGGAATTTCATCCTCCAACACATATAGCAAATAATAAAACGGCCTCAATCTCAGCCACAGAAACATAGAACTTCACACTAACGGACTATTTGCCTTGCTTTTTTTTTAACCTAATGTTTAACCAAAAACAAAAAATTACAAGGCATACAAGCAATATGAAAAAAACATTTAAGTGTCCCACAAACAAGTGTCAGAACAGTCTTTAGAAGACCATATATTATAAACAACACGCAGTAACTGAACACACATGCAGTCTTTTTGAGTGCCCACTCACATGCACTGGCTCATTTCATGATTCCTTAGCTTACAACTTTCCCACTACAGTCAGGCAGGGCAGGGTGCTCAACATTACACTGGATACTGTTCACTCTGCACTACTCTAGCGCACGTCTTAACTAGTGAAATTAAGATTCCAAAAGACAAAGGCTTAAGTATCTGAAAGCCACTGGACGGGTCGTCGCTCTATGGAGATACTTGTAAAAATAGTTTCAACTAAATCACGAGTAATCTAGTTTAAATGTTTCAGGAATCCGTCAGAAAAATAATAGCACATAAAAACTAACAACTTCTGTACTGGTCAGCTTTTCCACTCCTGGGAAAAAAAATTCCCAGCACACAACTTAGAGGGGAAAGAGGCTTCATCTAGCTCCAGGTTTCAGAGGTCTCAGTCCATGGCTGGCCCCAAAGAGAAGCACCAGGGGAAGGGAAAGGGAAGGATGCTATGCAGCTCCCACAGCCCAAAGCAGGGTGGAGACAGGCTGGGAGAGCCCCCGGTCAGCCTCCAGGCTGGGCCAGAGGGTGCGTAACTAACCAAACCCGCCTGGCTGTAATCTAGCAGGACTGCCGCAGGGTCCTGACCTCCACACTAGCAAGCCAATCAGGAAGGGCAGGGGAAAATAGTACTTCAAGATAGGAATAAAAATCCATAAAGTATCTACAACAAATCTAACAAGAGTTGCAATTTGTTTGTTGGGGGGGGGTTGTCTTTTTTGAAACAGGATCTCGCTATGCAGTTCAGGCTGGCCTTGAGCTCACTTTGTAGCCCAGGCTGGTCTCGAACTCGTAATGATCCTCCCACCTCAGCCTCCCAAGTGCTGGGATTACAGGCATGAGCCACCACGCCTGGCAAGAGTTGTAATTTTACATGATAAAAACTTTAAACTTCACAAAAATATAAAATGTACATAAAATATATAAGCCAAGCAAATCAACTCCTTACCTAAAATAAAGCTATCATTTCTCACCTTGTCAGTCTCTAAACTCAAGGCAATCTTAAAACACCTACAGGATTTAAAGGTATGTATTATGCAGGACCTCATATGAAGAAAAATTAGAGTATCACAGTAAACATGTGACCAATCTAGCTTAAAAATATAAGACTCTGGCCAAGTGGGGTAGTGCATACCTGTAATCCCAGCACTCAGAAGGCTAAGGCAAGAGGATTACCTTGAGTTCAAGACCAGCCAGGGGTACATAGTGAGTTCAAGGCCAGCCTGAACTGCATAGCAAGACCCTGTCTCAAAAAAAGACAGAGATGGGGGCTGGGGATTTAGCTCAGCGGCATAAGCGCCTGCCTTGAAAGCAGGCAGTCATGAGTTTGATCCCCAGTACCGATAAAAAAAAAAAAGAGAGACAGAGGAAGGAAGGCAAGCAGGGAAGAGGGAAGCAAGCCTGCCTCAAAATGAACATTAAAACCACACCAACACACTTGAAAAAGAAAAGCTACAGAAAAACTTCCCCTATAAAGCATCCACCGGTCCTAGGTAACTATAGCAACTAAAACACGGTGGGAGGCTGCCATTGAGCTATGGGGTAGAACACCCACCTGGGTCCCGACCTCAGCACCACACAGGAGAAACGTACAGCAGTGGCTGGGCATAAACACGCATGAATGCCACAGCCACAGACAGATTTCTGTAGCAGGCTCCTGAACGTACGATAATGATAGTGCAAAGAGTCAGCCCCTTCCCCAACATACTACATAGGTGCAGCTCAGAAGGCTGAGTGTGAAAAGGTCAAATGCTGAGAGCAGAGTAACAGACCAGGGCAGCAAGTCTTTAAAACACTGTGGTGGGATAGCACAGTCCTCTCCACAGGGAAGCCTGTCCACCATGAAAGACGACACAAAGGTAAAAAACACAACAAGCAGATACACTGCTACAGGAAACATCCATGACACTACCAATCACAACGAACGCTTGAGAATGGTTATCAATCACAATAAATGCCAAACAACCCAAGTAACAATTACAGACTATACAATCACTCGGAAATCTGACGAAAGAGGAAATAAATTTATACAAGTAAATGAAGACTTAACCTCCCTAGTAATTAAGAATACATTAAAAAGGATAAAAATGGTTATAAATTATGACCAGCAATAGAAAAATTAAGTGTTTATGGTATATCTATGTCACAAATACTATGAAGAATTTATGATGATAGGAATGATTTCTATTTAAACAAGACATCTCTTGCAATTACACTGCTAAGTGTAAATGACAGAAGATGTACAGTACAAACACTTAAAAATAAAACCTATATAAATGTGTGTATATATTAACTCACAGGTATCTAGAGGGATAAACACCAATCTCTACAAATGATTTCATCTGGGGATCACTCAGATTGGGGAAAGGGGCAAAACAAATTATTTTCATTTTTAAGGGTTTTTTAAATATATACTGTATCAATTTTTTTAATAAGCATTCATTTATGGGAGGCTGAGACAGAAGGATCACCACAAATTTGAGGCCTGCATGGGCTACAGAGGGAGTTCAAGGCCTGCATGGAATACACAGCAAGACCCGATCTGAAAAAAGCAAGTATATGAACAGAATTCTAACCCTACTTTAACCCTTCTCTTCTTTTTAATGGTGTTACAAAACTGAATAAATACAACTGCAAGGCCCAGTCAGCCAGCACCCAGGGTTACACGCCCCAAGGTAGTGTTCCTGATCCTGAAGACAGAAACTCATCAGCCCCTACAGAACTCAGAGTGTGGGAGACAGCATCTGTGCTTCCACAGAAAACAAACTCCAGAGCGACAGGGAAGGGGAGAGATCATGGCAGGGCACGGCAGGGGCTGCACAGAGCCGAGTCCCAGCACGGGCACCTCCCAAGAGGAACAGCCTTAGGAGGCGGGCAGGCAGGACCTGGGCAGAGGGAACCACATGTGAAAGCTCAGAAGTGGGGCGCATGCCAGGCAGCTGCCAGCCACGACTGCACCAGCTGAGAACTCGGGGAACAGTGTCCCTAGGAGGGTGGCCTGCAAGGAATTGGAAGGGAATCTGCCGCCACCTCCTCCCCACTGGCTTCCCCCGGGGCCTGGCTCTCTCCCCAGCTCCCCCAGATGTATCTAGGCGGTAGGCCAGTGAATCCTCTCGGTCATGCATGACAGCCTCACTGTCCTTCACACACAGTTTTTACTCAACATGTTCAGCTGTTTCTGTAGACATCGCCGCGACACCCTGAGATGCGCCCTGTGATTGCTGCTGGGGGCCGGCAGCATGGGGACCCGAGGTGGTACAATAAGCACTCACCGCACACTAGCATCGCTCCATACTTACAGGCTGGGGCTGCTCCGCAATGCAGCAGTTGAAACACAACCAGAATTCACTCATGCTTTCAGTTCAGGGTAGAAAATGAGCACCAGTGAGGGTTCCAAATCTCACTTTCAGAAGCTTCCCAAGGTATGGTCTTCGATCTGAGGAATGTCCAGTTCAAATAACCCTATTGCTCTATTCTGTCCTTAGAATTCGAATTTATATAGGCAAGGTAAAGAAACAGGTTGCTTCTTTTGCTTCTGGTTCTGCACACGCCTTTCTGAACCAGCAGGAAGGTGTAAGACTGCTGTCTTGACCCAAGGCCTACAGCAAGTAGCCTAAGAAAAAAAAGAAAAAGTGAAAGAAAATAAGTTTTTTTATCCTTGGAAATATTTACTTCTTAAATCTGTGATGAAACTGAAAATATTACCCCAAAAGTGCACACTGAAAATCAGGATTTTTTAACAAGGAGGTGTCCTGGAACCATGAATAGATTATAACTGAGGCCATGAGGACTCTAGGGAAACAGTACTGTGATGAGCAAGCCAGGACAGCTATCACGAAAGTAACAAGAATGTCTACACTTATATGACCCCCAGGAAAAAAGAAGTCTACAAAGGTAAAAGCACCATCAGAGCAAGGGGCAGAGAAGTGGAGCCAGCTGCACGCGGAGCCACAGGGGCCTTGCCAGGAGAGACAGCAGGTAACTGCACCAGCTGGCAGCAAGGGAGGAGAGATGGACAACTTTCCACAGCCACACATGGCACAGAGCTCCTCAGGGAAGTGGTCAGTGTGAAAGCTTTCCAGAAAAGCAAAGCAGTGAGAGCCACGTGGAGGCGATATCTGCAGGCACAAAATGTAAAAAAAAAGAGCACAGTAACATCCAGTGGAGGAAAAGGTCATCCTGGAAAAGACCAAAGACGGCTTACTCGGACTCTCCAGAGATGTCCCAAGTGATGAACTATAAATCACTTATTTATAAACTTGTGAAAGAAATATCAAATATTTATAAGGCTCACCAATCACAGATCATTAACATCCCCAGAGTCCAGAAGTCTTTAACACAGCACAGGGAATGATACATAAAGATTTAAACGTATCTGCAAGGAGGAGTAAAGGGAAGAAAAATTCACAGTCCTGCCCTAATTACGACTGAGAACCAGGCGGCTGTGGCAGCATAGCCTGTAATCCCAGCACTGGGGAGGCTGGATGGCGGCTGAATTCATGGCCAGCTGCACTGCACAGCGAGACCTGGTCTCAACCTCCACGTCAGAGCCAGGACTGCTTCCTTTAAGCAAGGACAAACACTCTTTCACTCCAAGTCTAAACCAGGAAGCTGGCAGGCTCTTTGTCCACGATTGGGTAAATATTGTGGAGTTGTATTAGCTCGAAAAGAACATGCTTCACGTATCTCTTCTGTCCCACCTTATGAGAATGTAAGATTAAATTCACACTATCATCATTTCAGTGCTGCCTTTTTTTTAACTGATTTTTAACTAATACAGACATGATGAACGTAATTAGGTACTGCAAAGATTAATAAAGATTTAAAAGATATTCAAAAACATTTAAAAATTATACATATTAATGGAGTGCCACATAACGTTTTATACATGCACATGGTGTTATGTTTAATTAGAAACATGGTGAAGGCTGCGAAAGGCTTCCTTCTGAAGGGTGCAGGACACTGCTGCTCCCCCCATCACCCTCGGGGCAACACCACCTTGATTACCTGACGCACATGCAGAAAAAGAGGCGCGCCACTGAGCTACACCACCACCCCATCGGCTTCAAATCTCCTGTCTAGTTTAGTCCCCCCAGCATCACCTATTCACATCTACCTCTCAGCTGCCAGAAACTTCCTTCAGACACTAATCTTACACTGAGAGGTGTGTTCTCCTTTTCGTCACTGGTTTCAACTAAGTGCCATTTAAGAGTGGTTTTCTACTTTGTCATCTATTACAAACTCTTTACCTCTACATTTCCCCAAATTCCAACTTCTTTCTCATTCAGAATAAAGCACTTTTTTTTAAATGTACACTTTCCCAGTCCCATGTACTACTTTACCATGATGTTCACAAGCCAGGCATGGTGGCACACACCCATACTCTCAGCACTCAGCGCTGAGGCAGGAGGATCAACACCACTTCAAATCTAGGCCAGCCTGGACCACACAGTGAGTTCAAGGCCAGCACAAAATGAACAGCGAGACCCTGTCTTTAAAAAAACATATAAAGACATATATATATGGTTACCATACTTGCCCTTGAGAGTTAGTTGAAGAGTAAGTATTTGAAGGTGACTGTGTTGGCACATACTTGGGAGGCTGAGGTGCAGATCTCATAGAGGCCAGCACAAGCCACTCAAAGTTTCAGAAGTGGACTGCGGATGTGGCCGTAGAGCAGAGCACTTGCCTTGCCTAATGCATGTGGAGCCCTGGACTCAATGTCTAATAGTGGGGGGAAAAGACTAAAGTGTTAACAGTTTGTGCTTCTCTGCTTCCACCAGGTAACAGAAATTGCTGAAATATTATTTCCAAACCAAGGGGATGCTTGTGACTCTGTGGGTTTTTGTTAAATAAATACACAGACCTTAAAATTTTTCAAACAGTTGGGCCTGGTGGCACACATCTATAAACTCAGCATGCAAGAGGCTGAAGCAGACAGACTGCTACAAGTTCAAGGCAACATGGCGACCCTGTCTCAAAACAAGGCAAAAACTCTCACACGTGCCATGGTCTGTGTTAACATGTTTTGTGTCTGTTTTCCTCAACAAGCTTCCTTTTCAAAATTTCCTTTGAGAAGCCAGGCATGATGGCACATGACTGTAATCCCAGCACTTGGGAGGCTGAGGCAGCAGGATTGTTGTGAGTTCAAGACCAGCCTGGCTACAAAGTGCAGGGCCAGCCTGAACTGCATAGTGACACCATCTCAAAAAGACACACACACACACACACACACACACCCTTCAAAACTGAATGAACCTTAAAGTACATGAGAGAGATGTCTCCACTAATGGCTACATTCTAGTATTTCCATTGCTTTTAAAATTTATGCTTTTTCAGGAGGCTAAGGCAGGACAACTGCTGTGAGTTTGAGGTCAGCCTGCAGTATATAGACTCTGTCTCAAAAAAAAAAACAAAAAACAATCCTTTACGTACTGCCTTTGGCTGCCCTGCCACAGACTGCTTCTCCCTGCAGTACCCTCTGTGGTGTCACCCTGTCTTGGAACCAGCTGACTATGGGCTGAACCTCTACAAACTGTGAGTTAAAATAAACCTTTCCTCCTTTAACTTGTGGATGTCAAGTATCTTGTCCTACCAAAAAAGAGTGACTTATACACAGTCCGTATCATACCAGTCCTTTGTATCATCAGTCATTTTCAGTTTAATCATTCTGGTGGGCTTAAAGTTGTATCTTGCTGTGGTGTTGTCTGGTTGGTTGGGTTTTTTGAGACAGGTTCTGGCTATATAGTTCAGGCTGGCCTTGAACTCACAGCAATTCTCCTGTCTCAGTCTCCCAAGTGCTGTGATTACAGGCATACATACACCCGACTGTGCTGTGGTCTTAATCTACACTTTTCAAATAATTAACAGTAGTATTTTCATGTGTTTTTTGAATATTCACGTATCTTTAGTTATGGATGGACTGAGTTTCAGACCTAAAACAAGTCCTTTGTCCAATACATATATTAAGAATGTTTTCCTCATTCCTGGGAAAGATAGCAGATCGATAAGCAGTAAGGTAAAGAGCCTCTCTTGAGAGAAATAGCTCAGACGCTAGAATTTACCACCATGGAGAAGACCAGACAAAAGAGAGGGATTCTCATGACCCCGTATGAAATAAAAAAGAAAAGGAAAACGTGGACAGAAAGCTGCAGCCACATGCGCTCTCACCAGAGCCGGTCCCACACTGGGCCGGGCAACCTGGAGCCTGATGACTTGTGGCTGCAGTGAGCCCGAGGACCTCACTGCAGTAGACAACAGTAGAAAAGTAGACAAACAACAACAGAAAAATAGCATAGCAAGAGGATGCATTGCAACGGAGAATGGAGCCGGTGTGGAGACCTGCACTGGCCCCTGGTGAGCGCTTGGAATTTGGTCCTCTCACGTGAGCAGGTGACCGGCTGGGTGACATATTGGAATCAGGCAGGCCAGGCCTGAACTCAGAACCATAGCGGCTTCAGTTGGCCGCTCCTGGCGCAGAGCAGATTGGCAGGATCTGCTTAGACTGGGTCATGCCCCTGGGTGGGACACAACAGCCAGGGACGAAGTTGCCCCTAAAACTGTCCTGAACTGGTTCCATCCACATGGCATACACTAAGGTGGTGAAGACCCTTGGTGATTGACAGGCTCCGAGGGGCCAGCCTGCATGGCCCCTGCTTGCACGTCAGTGATCAACAGCAAACTGGAGAGGGCAGCAACCCCTAGCCAGCCAGCATGCTTCAGAGTAACCATAACCAACAGAGAAAGAGCCTGAGACCTCCACTATATCCTTGTCTGGGAGAAACCAGAAACATGACAAGAGAAAGAAACAAAAAAATTCTCCAGCCACCAACCCAGGAAATATGGGTCCAGGAAAGGTAAACACAGAAGAGATTAAGGGCAGCAAACGTGCAATATCGGAAACAGCATCAGCTGACATAAAGAATTATCTTCCTGGGCCAGGGATTTAGCTCAGTGACATAAGTGACTGCCTTGCAAGTGTGCAGTCATGAGTTCGATCCCTGGTATCAAAAAAATTTTTAAATATTAAAAAAGACATACCTTTGTGACATTACAGAAGAATTCAAAACAGAAATATTAATACAAATAAAGCAAGATATAAGAAGATTAATAAAAGAAATGCTAAGCACCTCTCAAGAAGACACAGATGGAAGAATGAACACAGGAAAAGGAGGAAAACCTTCAATGAAGAATATTAAAAAAACTAGAATACCTGAAACAGATTCAAAGAGCTTACCAGGAAATTACATTGAAAGCTAGCAAAATTGCTTGAAAGAAACTAAAGATAGACTATCAAACCTTGAAGACAGGTTTGCAATGTATGATCGCGAAAGGAAAGATCTCTTAAAAATAACAAGGAGCCAGAAGTAACAATACAAAAGCTAGAAGAGGACAAGAAGATCTATAACTTAAGAATAAAAAACATGAATGAAGAAGCAGGGGTAAACGCAAAGGAAATACAAAGACTATTCACAGAAATAATTAAAGAAAACGTCCCAAGCATAGGAAAAGGAAATGATATTCAGATATATGAGGCATACAAAAATCCAGCCAGCTATAACCAAAACTGATCTACACCCAGAAATATAATAATCAAGATCTCAGAAATTCATC